GAGGTGATTCTCACAGGACAGGAGGTTGAGCCGTGGTGACCTTGGAGCCAGGATTACAGGAGGGGTGGTATAGCCAGCCAGGCTGGCATGGAAGCCCTGAGCAGCCAGGGTCCTGGGATTTGAATCCAAGGAGAGTTTTGGACTTGGAACTGGTATAGCTCTATAAGAACTGAGCTAAGTTATGAACCTGATCTCCTTCCCTTCCCCACATACGGAGGTGATGTAGTGTGTCTGTAGGCACACACATATACGTATGTGTGCAAATACATACATATACACATATGTGTGCATGTGCACATACGTACACATACCCCCTACATGTGTGTGTGTATGTATATGCATCCCTCCTCCCTCTAATTCTCCCCTCCCTACCACTCTTTCATCCTGTTGAGTAAAATGTGTTTCTGTATCCAAGTATGTGTGTGCTTTTTTCCCATCTTTGACCAGCTCAGATAAGCCCACTCCTCCCACCTCTTCCTCCTTTTTTGTAAAGGCTTCTACTTGCATGTGAGATAATTTTCCCCATCATTCTTCTCTCTTCCCCTACCTACTATATTCCTCTTCCTCTCCCTTTCCATTTTTCTTTTAAGATCATCAAAACATAATAGACCCTCTCTTCCCTGACCTTTCAAAATTCATTGTCTTAGCTTCCAAATTAATCTCCTTTACCTACAATAGAAGAGCAAAAGCTGAGGCAAAGAATCCAGGCCTACATTCATGGGCACATGTTTGCTTCAAAGGCTTCTCCCCTTACTGCATTATCTTCTATTGGAATGCCGCCAGAAGGGAAGAAATCAAACTAAGATATAAAGGGTGAGACTGTGCTCTAGTAGCGCCTTTTGAATGGTTTACCAACCATCTAAAAAGCCTCCTATTATGTGGTTGGCAGACCAGAAACAGTTACAGAATATCTGCACATGCTCCAAAGTCTCTCCAAGGCACTTCATTACCAACCATCATGACTCTCTTGGAAGCAGACTCCCCAACCTATTATATGTGAGGAATTATATCAGTGAAACTTATGCCCACTAGGTCCTCATTACATATATAGCAGAATATTCACAGTAGTTTTTTTTTTATGGAAGTGGAAACAATTGGGTAATGGCTAAACAAATTGTGGTTCTCCTAATTAAAGTTTAGGTTCACCTGATTTTATAGGTGTTGAAGAAATAGAATCTGGGAAGGAAGGAGTTGAAATGGTTGCCTTGGGTAAAGCAAGGTTGTAAACTCAGTCATAAATGAGGTGGCCTCAGCGGTGGGCATGGAGATGACTAATGGAGTAGCATTTGCTAATTTTATTGAAATAAAGGTTATCTAAACTATAACCTGAATGTCATTTCCCTTTAGGTCACAGGAAATGGGGAAACAAGAATTTTAATAGGAAGTGAGGTATGAGCTATATTTTTGGAAATTTTCCTGGAGTTCTAGATGCAGACAAAATAATAAGCCAGCTTTATGATAAATCAATGAAACGTTGAGAATGATTTTACTTTTTTAAATCCCCATGAGCACATTCAGGCACTGGTAGCATCTCTAGGGTATTGTTGCTATGGTAACAATGCAAGTACAATTGATTCCCTCCAGTTAGGTTACTGAGCCTGTCTGGTGTCCTTGTTTTTCCTTTCTCCTCTAGTGGTTATGCTTTTGAAAAAGGCAGTAGGAAGCCAGCTGCTCCAAGCTTCTCAAACTAAAGCCACAGTAGCTCTCTCTCCCTCCTTCCCAGCCCGCTGATTTCTGTTTGATGTACTTTACCAAACAGAAATAAAATAGATCTAGGTGTATTCCTCTATATTTAGTCTTGGGTATTCAAGACTTGTGGTAGATAACACTGGATCTTTCTTTGCTTCTGCAAAGTGGACAAACTAGTGGACAAATATATCTTGCATCTCTAAAAGAGGAAATTTCTTATTGCTATCTGTACCTTAATGGCTAAGTGTTAAGGGTAGAAAGAAAAAACCCTGTTCTCAGGTAGCTTGAAGGAGACAGCATGAACACATATGAAAGTGTAAAGAATGGGGTTCTTGAAAATCTAGGAGCTAATCACAGAAAAGAGATATTAAATTCACTGTGAATAGGGGCCAGATGATCAGTTTATGAAGTAGGAATGTGTCCCGTAAGTGAGTCAGAAGAGAGCATTTGTTATTAGAAAATGCTTAGTCTTCCTCTTGCAGTTTGCCCCCCACCTTCTTCCCCTGTGACCTTGAGATACACAGTCCAGTTAGCTAGAGGAGGTTCTGGAAGGAGCTAGCAGTTGGGGAAGAACCAAACTCATTACCTCTTGTAGTGCTGGAGAAAGTAACCTGCCCAGGAAGATCTGATGTGCCCAGAGAGGAGCTTTATGAGGACTCCATTAAGAGAAGAAAGACTCCTACGCCTTGAAGTACCAGCATAGTACTTCAGTCTTGGCCATATGTATACACCTTACCGCCATTGTACACTAAGTTTGTACCCACTCTTCTCAAGGACACCATGTACATTTGTGAGAGAGTGTACCCTAGGCTTAAGAGGAGAATTCGAAAACTACTGTTCTTAGCATACCATTTTAGTAAATGTCATTGCTAAGATCTATCTGCATCTACTGGCTGATTGTCAATGGAAAGCAGACTAGTTGGAACTCATGAGGTATAGTTTTGGAAGTAGGTACCTAAAGGCTACCTCCTTGAACTCGTGAGAGTAGTCACCCACTCAGAGACATAATTCTCACCTGGGTAATAGTGGAACTACATTAGTGGAACTTTAAGCTTAATATTGACCTTGTGATGTGGTAGATTTTTTTGTGTGTGGCCAAAACCACTTTGATATGGGGGAGAGTCTTTCTCTCAGGCCCAGAGAGTACAACTTCAGAATCAAGGTGAGCTGAGCAAAGAAGCAGACCCAGGGAATCTATCGGAATAGTCGTTCAGTCAATAAGCCTTTTTAAAGAATGTACTATGCGCCAGGTTGGGGGCAGCTAGGTGACACAGTGGATAAAGCAACAGGCCTGGAGTCAGGAAAACTCTTCCTGAGTTCCAATCCAACCTCAGACTAGCTGTGTGACTCTGGGCAAGTCACTTAACCCGATTTGCCTCAGTTTCCTCATCTGTCAAATGAGCTGGAGAAGGAAATGGAAAACTACTCTGCCAAGAAAACCTCAAATGGGGTCATGATGAGTCAAATTTGACTACAAAATGACTGAACAACATCAACAAATGTGCCAGGCACTGTGCTAAAATTTTTTTAAAAAGGCAAAAGACAATACATGCCCTTGAGAAGCTCATAATCTAATAGGGGAGATAAGAAGCAAATGAGCATGTGCAAACAAGCTATATACAGGATGAATAAGAAATAATCAACAGAGGGAAAGCCATATTAAGGGGCAATGAGAAAGGCTTCTCACAGAAGGTGTAGCTTTAGCTGGGCCTTAAAGGAATCCAGGATGTGGAGCTCGAGGACGGAGAACATTCCAGGTGAGAGGCACAGCCAGCGAAAATATCTGGAGCTGGGAGATAGAATATCTTGTTACAGGATCAGCAAAAAGGTAGGTGTCACTGGATTGAGGAATATGTATACAGGGTGTAAGGTGTCAACTGGAAAGGCAGGGAGAAAGGCAAGCTTATGAAACACTTGGAATGACAGAAGATTTTGTATTTGATCCTAGAGGGGAAAATGAGTCACTAGAGTGGACTGAATAGTGGAGTGACATGGTCAGAACTGTGATTTAAGAAAATCATTTTGACCTGGAAAGACTTGTATGGGCTGACGTAAAGTGAAATGTACTGTGTACAAAGTAACAGCAACATTGTAAGATGATCAGCTGTGAATGACTTAGTCATTCTCAGCAATGCAATGATCCAAGACAACTCTGAAGGACTTGTGATGAAAAATGTTACCCATCCCCAGAGAAAGAACTGATAGTGTCTGAATACAGATCGAAGCATACTTTTCCTTTTACTTTCTTAATTTTTCTTGAGCTTTTTTACGTTTTCTTTCACAACATGACTATTATGGATGTGTTTTGCATATATAATCTATATTGAACTGCTTGCCTTCTAAATGAGGGCAGTTGGGGAGGGAGAGAGAGAATTAGAACTCAGAGTTTTGAAGATGAATGTTAAAAATTATTTTTACATGTAACCAGGGAAAAATAAAAATAAAACACTAAAAAATCATTTTGGGGACTGAATGGAGGATGAACGGGAGTAGGAAGAGACTTGTGGCAAGCAGATTAAGCAGCGGGCTAAAATACCAGGTGTGAGGTGATAAGGGCCTGCATCAAGTTGGTGGTGTTATCAGAGGAGACAGACTCTGTGTTCAGGGTAAGCAACATGACACCATGAGAAGAGAAAAAGACATCAGCATCTTGAAATGCCTAGGGTGTGAGTTGCTTTGTGTTACCTACCTGTTTGACTCCCTACCAGTGTACTCCAAATATGTGCCCCTGGGGTAAGACTCTACCACCCATCTTCAATGCTAGAGATTTCCTTAGCTTCATCTTCGAGGGAAGACTTTGAGCAGTCTATTCACCTGCATCAGCCACTGACACTCTACCTGGACTCATTGCAAAATGATTAGCATCATCAGATAACTCTCAAACTTTCCCTATTCCGGTGATTTTCTTTTCTTTCTTTTTTCTTTCTTTTCTTTTCTTTTTTTTTTTTTTGGCTAGGCAATGGCTTTAAGTGACTTGCCCAGGGTCACACAGTTAGTCACTGTTATGTGCCTGAGGCCACATTTGAACTCAGGTCCTCCTGCATCCAGGGCTGGTGCTGTATCCGCTGCGCCACCTAGCGGGCCCCTGTTCTGGTGATTTTAAACCCCCAGCTACTGATATACAAACATTGGTCTCCATTTACAACTACATCTTTTCATGTTCCCGTACTACATATCTGCCCACCCACTCCACCATATTCTCTGGTATGCCCATTGTATAATTAATACAGCAGGTAGAAGCAGGCCAAATGGACCCAGAATTGCCGTGTTGCAGGAATTTGTTTAGTTAGGCACACTCCATATCTCCATAGGCACTTTCAATTTCTGACTTTATAGAGAGTAGGAGGTTAGTCATGACTGGGATTTAACTTCTTCACTCTTCTATCTGCAACAGAGAAAGGAGAATTGAGGTTAGAATCATTCCTATCTATAGCACATCAGATATCTGTGTCTAGGGTCATGATACTCTTTTGGAGTTCAGAATAAAGTCCACTTTCTCTGTTCACTTTGGGGGAAAAGTAGTCTTGCCCCAAGCTGGGAGAATAACAGTTAGCCTAATATCTTCCAGTTAAGCTCTCCCTCACCAAATCCTTATTACACAAAAGACAATCGTGGATAGAGAGCAAATATTTTTCAAAGTAGGCAGTAAAACAGTGATTAGGGAAATTATATAGAGTAGGTTAAATAGGATACACAAGATTTGGGCCTTTTTGACTCTGGAGAAAGATGAAATCTTATCTCAACCAAGGAGAGAATGATCTCACCTGAGATAATAGATCTTGGCAGTCTCTAGGGGGTGCGGGCATGGAGAATCAAGGTATATGTCAGGTTGCTGACACCGTGCTATGTCTATGTGTCTGCAGCATTGGGAGTTGCTGCTAGTTAAGTAAAGTCCACATCTGGCATCTGGCCTCCTCTTTGCCTTATCTTTCTCCTCTCTTTGAAGTCTCTTTGCCAATCAGGAGTCATGTATGTATGTATGTGTATATGTGTGTGTATACACATACATATATACATATGTATGTATGCACACATGTGTGTATATATGTATACATACATACACATATATCCATCTAGGGGACCGCCTAGTCTCATCTGGGTGGTAGTTGAACTATATTAACAACTTCTTTTCATTTGAAACCTTTTCTGTTCTCCTTCCTTCCATCTTCTGGAACTTGTTAACAGTTAGTTTCTTCTTGATGAAACTACTTCCCTTGCTGCCATTTCCAGTACTGTTTATACTTTCTCTCTTAACCCCTGACTCAACAGGTTGTGGTTGGGGAGTTGGAATACCTCTTGCTCTCCATCTCCGCTTCAGACTGTTCCTTCACCATTACCCCTCCAGTAACTTCTTTGATGTTCAGGTTATCCAAATTTATTACTCAATCTAGACTCCAGTGGCCATTATATTCTCAATCATTTCCATACTTGGCTCTCTGTCTTTCTCTCTGCTACAATTCTTACCCTCTGGACTTTAACACATATATCGATATTGCCTCAAATACTCCAACTTCCCTCTTCTTCAGTCTACTTGATTTATAGAATGCAGTGCTCCATCCCACCTGACTACATACAGAAATAGTTATATCCTTAATCTACCCATCATACACAAATATTCCATTCTTCTCTATAAATTCTGAAATTCCTTTATCTGATCATAATCTTTTTAACAAGGGGCTGAGAAATGAGGATTTAGTCCTGAGTGCCCATGCAAGGGACTCACATGGTGAGCCTACTCTTGGAAGTATATGACTACCTGGAATGGAATACTTGGCTCTCCACTTCAGAACAGGAATGGTCTATTATTTTTTGGGATGGTGATGGTGGTGGTTCAAGATCAACTAGAGGTCCAGGAACTAGAGTCCACACCTGAGTCCTGAAGATCACCCTACAGGATCCATATCGGTAGTTCATTGACCTTAACATCAGAGACACCATGTCCTGCAAACAAGGGAATGAGGAACTTGTCTATTGGCTTTGCTACATTCGAAGTGAACTTGGTAAGGTGAATGTTTTGTATCAACCACTTTATGTTTGAGCTCACTGTCTCCAGGGAGAAGCTATAGAAGAGAGTGTGCCCCTGGTTTGGGGAGGACTTTATATACTTTAGTTCTTGTTATATCTATTCTGTAGATCTCCTTTGGTAAAAACTAAGCAATATTACTTGGTTAACTGGCATTGGTAGAGGATAATGAGGCAGTAATCACTGGTAATTGATATTTGGGTAAACATATCAGAATGGGGGCTCAAGCAAGTAGTATCAAAAGGATACATTTGGGGGGCAGAGCCAAGATTGTGGAATATAGGAAGCAACCCAGCTGAGCTTTCCCACCATTCCCCTCCAAACAACTTTAAAATAACTCCTCAAATCTAAGACATCTCCAAAGGCCTCGTGATGGAAAATGCTATCCACATCCAAGGAAAGAACTATGGAGTTTGAATGCAGATCGAAGCATATTATTTGCTATTTTTTTTCTTCTGTTGAGTTTTGTTTCCTCTTTCTGGTGGCTCCTCCTATTGGTTCTAATTCTTACTTACAACATCAGTAATGTGAAAATATGTTTAATAGGAATATATATGTATAGCCTGTATCAGATTGTGTGCCATCTTGGGGATAGTGGTGGGGAGGGAGGGGGAGAAAAATTTTAAACTCAAAAGCATATGGAAGTGATTATTGATAAATCAAAATAAATTAATCAAAAAAAGCAAAATAACTCCTCAAACCAAATTTTGTAGTGGTAGAGCCAACAAAAAGTTAAGGTGAGACATTTTTCTAGCCTAAGACAACTTAGGCAAGAGAGGTTTGTGACACCGGGAAGGGTGCCAGTCCAGAGTGCAGCTGTAGCAGCAGCAGCAGCAGCTTTAGGGATTCAGAAAGGGTAAATGAGTGGCACAATTGGTCAGAAACAGATTACAAGGGTCCCTTTGCTGGCACTGGGTGTAGCTGGCACTGATTGGCAACTCTGTTGCTCATTAGCAGTTCTGGGTCACAGATCCAGGGTGGAGAGGAGCACTTGTGGTTGGTCATAAGGAAGCAGAGGCTCTGGTCCAAGGTAAAGAGTAGTGGTAACACATGCACCTGCAGAGGAATGGAAGCCCTTTGTGGGTAAAGACCAGACCCAGACCAGGAGAACAGCAACCACACCTCTACTTGGGTCACAATGCCTTGGAAGCACTGAAAACTTGTAGATTCCCAGAACTAGCTCTAAAAGCAGTAGTGTGAAAAAAGCCTGCAGCTTGGGAGAATGCCTCTCCACCCTGAGGTGAGCAGAGCCCAACTTTAACATAAAGTTCAAAGTTTAAAAAGAAGACCAAGACATAAACGCGGAAGAAGACAACAATGCCTAAACAGCTACAAGCAAAGCCTTGAAGAAAAACGTGAGCTGGACCCAAACCCAACAAGAATTCTTGGAAGAGTTAAAGAAAAAGATAAATGTGGTAGAGGAAAAAGTCGGGAAAATAAATGAGAGTGATGCAAGAAAATTATGAAAACAGAATTAACATCTTGGTAAAAGAGGCACAAAAAATACTGAAGAAAATAACAAAAAACAAAATCAGCCTAATGTTAAAAGAGGAACAAAAATTAACTGAAGAAAATAATGCCTTAAAAATTAGAATTAGGCAAGTGGAAGCTAATGAATCCATGGGACATTAAGACACAATAAAACAAAGGCAAAAGAATGGAAAAAATAGAAGAAAATGTGAAATGTTTTATCAGAAAAACAACGGACCTGGAAATAGATTGAGGAAAGATAAAACCAGCCAGAGAAAACACCTGGGCTCAAGAGATAGAGTATTTTATTTGTGAGGCAACCAGGAGGTCAGTGGATTGAAAAGCACATGCTGAGGAATAAAGCATAAGACTGGAAAGGTATGAGGGGGGCTATGTTATGAAGGGTTTGAATGTCAAAAAGAGCATTTTGTAATTGATGCTAGGTGATCCTACTATACCTCCCTCATCAACTCACTATCCCACCCTCCACAGGGTTTTTTTCAAACCTTCCATGGCTCCTCCTCCCCTCACTCTGTCATCTGAAAACCTTATCTCATATATATGTTTTTTTAATTTTTATTTATTTGGTGAGGCAATCGGGGTTAAATGACTTGCCCAGAGTTATACAACTAGTAAACGTCAAATGTCTGAGGGCCAGATTTGAACTCAAGTCCTCCTGACTCCAAGGCTGGAGTTCTCTCCACTGCACCACTTAGCTGCCCCTTATCTCATATTTTAATATCAACAGATGCAGAAAAAGCGTTTGACAAAGTACAACACTCATTTCTATTAACAAACACTTGAAAGTATAGGCATAAATGGGCTTCTCCTTAAATAGATAAGAAGCATTTACCTAAAACCACCAACAAGCATTATTTGTAATAGGGATAAGCTAGAAGCCTTTTCAGTAAGATCGGGTATGAAAGAAGGATGCTTCCTGTCACCAATGTTATTCAATATTGTATTGGAAATCCTAGCAGTAGCAATAAGAGGAGAAAAAGAAACAGAAAGAATCAGAATAGGAAATGAGGTAATACAACTATCTCTTTTTGCAGGTGATATGATGATATACTGGAAAAATCCTAAAGACTCAAATAAAAAGTTAATTGAAATAATGAATAATTTCAGCAAAGTAGCAGGATATAAAGTAAACACACATAAATCATCAGCATTCCTATATATCACCAACAGGATCCTGCAGGAAGAAATATCTAGAGAGACCCGCTTTAAAATAACCCTAGACAGTATGAAACATGTGGGAACACACCTACTAAAACAAACCCAGGATCAGAACAGAACCGTAAAAAACTTTGTACACAAATAAAATCAGATTTAAATAAATGGAGAAATACTGTTTATGGCAGGGCTAATATAATGTATATAACAAAATGACAATTTTACCAAAATTAATCTGTACATTCAATGCCATCCCAATTAAATTACCAAAAAATTATTTTACAGAGCTAGAAAAAATAATAACTAAATTCATTTGGAAGAACAGAAAGTCAGGAATATCAAAAGGAACTAATGAGAAAAAAAATGTAAAGGAAGGAGGTTTAGCAGTACCAGATCTTAAACTATATTATAAGGAGTAATTACTAATTAATGCCTCATAATATTATCTGGTATAATAATTATCTGGTACTGGCTAAGAAATAAAAAGGTAGATCGGTGGAACAAAGTAGACGTACAATCTATAGAAGCAAATGAATATAGTTACTCAGTGTTTGACAAGTGTAAAGATTTGGGTCTTTGGGATAAGAATTCATTATTTGGTAAAAAAAAATTGTTAGAAAAGCTGGTAAGGGGCAGGTAGATGGCTCAGTGGATAGATCACCAGCCCTGAAGTCAGGAGGACCTGGGTTCAAATCTGGCCTGAGACCAAACACTTGGCACTTACTAGCTGTGTGACCCTGGGCAAGTCACTTAACCCCAATTGTCTGGGGGGAAAAAAAAAAGAAAAACTGGTAAGCAGTCTGGTAGAAATTGGTCATATGTCCAAAGCGTTATTAAACTACTTATACCCTTTGACCCAGAAATACTACTATTAGGTCTGTTTCCCAAGAGGATTAGGGAAAATGAAAAATAACCTACATGTTTTAAAATATTTATAGCAGCTCTCTTTATGGTGGCAAAGAACTGAAAATTGTGGGGATTCTCGTCAATTGGGAAATGGCTAAACAAATTGTGGTATATGTTCATGATGGAATATTACTCTGCTATAAGAAATGATGAGCTCAAGGATTTTAGAAAAGCATGGAGAGATCTCCACAAGATAATGAAGAGGGAAGTGAGCACAACCGAAAAAAAACCATTGTGTATAATAACAGCAGTATTGTTTTGAGA